TCATATTTAATGTCTAAAATGTGTATACTTAATTTATATTTTATTTAATACATATTTATTACAGTTTTAATAACTAGATATTGATAAATAGTGAGCTTGATAAACATTTATTTATATATAATAGATTATCTACGTTATATTTATAAATGATTTATTTTATTAATGATAACATTTTAAGAAAATCAAAAAATCATCATGGAAAATAATAATCAACATTTTATAATCGCCGCTAACTATGTACTTGATTAGAAATCTTAGTAAATATTTTTAAATATATACCTTATTTTTATTTGGTATCTAGGTACCATCATTCGTATCATTTAATTTCACAAACAATAATATTTATTTTCAAAACGGCATTGAAGTGAACATGATAAAAATATTTCAAAATGTTTTAAATTTCACCTACGACATAATCGACAGCAATTATCAATGGGGATATAAACTATCTAATGGAAATTGGACCGGGTTACTGGGGTTACTACAAAGAAATGTAAAACATATATTATATTAATTATTACAAATCTAATTTGTATTTTATTTTAGCAAGCTGATATTGGACTAAGTGCGCTGGCAATGACCTATGAACGACAAAAGGCAATTGATTTCGTGTATCCCTATATGATTGATAAATATACGTTTACCACCCCAGTACCAAAATATGGATACTTATTTAATCTATTTGGAATATTTGATTCAATTACCTGGATACTATTGTTTATATCTATAACCACATTTTATCTATTAGTTAAAACAATTAATTGTAATATTTTTACAAAGAAAATTTGTTTTAATTACATTTACATACTATCAATGTTTTTTAAACAACCTATATCTATTAATAATCGCACTGCATACTCAATTAAATTTATCATTGGTGCCTGGTTACTAGCATGTATTATATTAAATACGTTTACATGCGGTTGCATTTATTCACTAATAACACTTCCTAGACAATATTCAATATCCACCAAGGTAGATTTCTATAAAGCCATTCTTAATAAGGATATTAAAGTATTTGTGATCAAAAGTTCCCAATATTACAATTGGTTAAAGGTAATATTTAGTTTAACATTAAGTAGATTATATTCATAAGCCATTTATAAAATTTTATTTTCAGAATAATAATTTTAATCTTGGTGATAAATATTTTACTCATATCGTCAACATGTTAAATCATATGATTGAGAGTGACAAATATTCACCAAATGAAGCTAGCACATATTCGTACTTAGCTAGCAGACGATATCTAGAATACGCTATTTATTATTATAAATTATCTAGCTACAGATTACCACCGGATAACATGGACAGTCAGTTTACAAATACATTTTATTCAATAGCTTTGAGAAATAATTTCCCATTAAAACAACAATTCAACAAGATGTATTTATTTGTTTTAAAATATAGAAATATATTTATTAATAATTTGACTATCATGTTTTTATAGATTATCCCAAATTAAATGCGCTGGACTAATTGAGTTTTGGATTAACAAGTTAAAATTATACAGGTTCACTGATGAGATTATATTAACTGGGTTAACAATTGATAACTTTTATACTGTTTTTATTGCACTTATTTTTGGTTGGTTGATTTCAACATTTGTATTTTTTATAGAATTATTTATTTCTATTTGGTTAGCATGCTTATTCTAAAAAATATTATTGTTGTTTTATAAACATTTCAATTATATATTATAATCATTAAATAAAAATTAAAAATAAGCAATTAATAATATTTTTGTTGTTTGATAATTTGTATTTTTTCGATACATTATATAATACGGTACTAGTAATAAAATGGTCATTGTAAATTATATAAATTATTTAATAGATTTATCTTATTTGAAATTGATCTAAAAATTTAAGTTTATATTATTAATAGTATTATATCGGGTGTCCCATCGTATTAGTACGACTTTGAAATTAATTTTAAAATATTTCCTATTATATTTTGCTAACAAAAACTATACAAAAATGTTGGAAATTTATTAGAATTTTATGTGGAATTCATAAAATGTTCATAAAATTCATTCCCTGGTCATAATTTTAGTTTGATTGCATGTATGGCTGTTTTTTATGCAAATAAAATCGTTAATTTCTTATAGCGCTAAGACTACGAAGCATTGATGCTAGCATTCGGTGACAGTTGTACAGTAGTATTACTATGGTATTACGCAAACAGACATGCATGCAGTAAAACTAAAATTATGACCAGGGTAGGCATTTTGTGAATATTGTATGAATTGCACATAAAATTATAATAAATTTCCAACATTTTAGTATAGTTTTTGTTAGCAAAATATAATTGTAAATATTTTTAATTTAATTTAAAAGTCGTACTGATACGATGGGACACCCGATATTTCTCAGTATTTCACCATAATAATAATAATAATTATAATTGTTAATTAACTAAAATTAATATGAACTATAATAGCAAAGTAACTATTAATAAATGTAATAATTCAGTTTATGAATTCCACATAAAATTCTAATAAATTTCCAACATTTTTGTATAGTTTTTGTTAGCAAAATATAATAGGAAATATTTTAAAATTAATTTAAAAGTCGTACTGATACGATGGGACACCCGATATTTCTCAGTATTTCACCATAATAATAATAATAATTATAATTGTTAATTAACTAAAATTAATATGAACTATAATAGCAAAGTAACTATTAATAAATGTAATAATTCAGTAGAATAGGTTATGAAACTATATGTATAAACTGTAAAATATAATTATACTATATAAATTACATACAGAGCTATCGTATTCTTTTACAAATTTTGTTTTAAAAATTATTTGAATTCATTATTATCAAGGGTATTTTATTCACCAAGGGCTGGTATGTCAAAAACCTCTCGGGTCACCGGATAGGGAACCGCTATTTTGGGATCCGTTTCCAAACAATTCATGAACTTATTCAGTGATAACGCGTGTAAATCGTATAAACTTGTCAAAAGTCTCATACATTTGTCGTGCGATTCACTTTCGTCCCGATATTTAAGTAATAAACAACGTCTCAACAAATGCACGTATTGTTGTTGTTGCAATCTGTTGAATTATTGAACGAGGTAACTTAATTAATAAATTAAAAATAGTATTTAGCTGGCTTACTTTACAGCCTTTCTATGTTTAAGATAAGGTCGATTGGGATTAAACAAAATAATTGCTGTTAGCTGCAATAAAAATTATATTATAGAATATTAAAAGACATTATTTATGTAAAATTAAATTTACCAAATCAATAATTATTTCATCATTGTTCCAGTCTATAAAGAATTTGTATAAAAATAATTTGAATAAATAGTAGATATTTCTTCGCGAATATTGCATTATTTCCAAATTTAATTTAACCGAGCTATTATTTTCCTAACAAAATAAAATAATTATTAATTGAAATTAAATAGCATTGACTAAGTAATTTCACAAATAACATTTATACAAATTATTTAATCATGACCAATGTAATGCAAATTCTTTACCCTGTTAAGTGTCCAATAATTACGTTCACAATTATAATAATTCATTGACCGAATATTGTAGACCTCTATACAGCCGTACTTTATGAGCGAGATCCTATCATTTTCGCATAAACTTTGGAAATGTCCTAGTCCTTTGCACATGACTATCATTTTTCTCAAATGACTTTCAAACCTAGGTGCTATTACCGTATAAATATCTAGATAACAAACCTCACCACTCGTATTCCTTATAAACGTTTCGCTGAATACAGACACAGCCGATAATAGTTCACGCAATCGGTTGCCCTCTAATTCATTCAATCGGTTTCTGTAGTCTATTAGCGATCTAATGATAGGTATGACAGATAAGAACTGATCCCGATGTCCATTATTTGTATCAGGGCAAGTGTATACGTTTATAGTAGTCATGTGGTTAGTATTGTTTTCATTAGGGTATGAATGCCTATCAATAGATAATTGTGACGATATTACTCTGTATTACTATCCAATGGTTTGTTTTGTAATTTTGTTTGATTTTTCTTATTTTTAATTATTGTATCCTTTTTTAAGAGACAAAGCAAGGTAAATTAATTTATTTTAATTAATTTGTATAATATATCATACGGTTTTCATTCCAATAGCGTAACATTTATCTAGTCGACACTTTTTGCAATTAATCCGTATTTTTACATTTATTTCGCAGTTATTTTGACCAGTACATTTTAGCATCTATATAAAGTATTAATATTAATGTTATTCAATTTGGATTGTAATTTTTAAAAAATATTTGTAGTATGTACTTTGTTGCTAGTAGCATTACGTCTGAAAAATATTTTACATGGCTGACAGGTAGTAGCGTTATAATTTTTGCCTATGAATTAAAATAATTTTTAAAATTTCAAATTAGAAAATATATCAAATGTACTTGAAAATATATAAAATGACAAATACTTTTATTTACATACAAATTATACTACTATAACAATAATACAATAATTATAATTTATTTTTATACCTGTAGCTCTCGCACCACAAATTACACATGTAGCTTGTTTAGATAATGAATTTATTGTAGTAGTATCATCCATTGTTCAGGTTGCATATTAAATTGTACATTGTAATTTTACAATCATTATATTAAAAAATCAATATTTTCACGGATTATTATTTCATCAAATTATATTTCTTAAGTGAAATATTTATCTCAATGAATAACCCTGACAAGTACACTAGCAACATAATGTTTGGTATAAGATATACCTGTACATTTAAGATAAACATATTTAATATTGTAAACATTTTTTGAATGAAAATAAATAATTATTTATTAAATCAATGTTTTATAACACATTTTTAAAATTATNTAATATTGTAAACATTTTTTGAATGAAAATAAATAATTATTTATTAAATCAATGTTTTATAACACATTTTTAAAATTATTTAGTAAATCAATTAAAAATCATTAAAATTTACTGCTTTTTCAATGATTCAAATCTGATTTTTAATTTCAAATTTTTTGCATCCCTGTCCTCTTTTGTAATACCATTAATCTCTTCATAATAGGGTAGCGCTGACTTGAGTCGGGAACTCCAGTCCCTATAATTTGGATACTCATTAAAATCAAAGTCTTCGTACCATTCAATGTTGGCAGTGGTGGCCAAAAGGGTTAGGTCTGCCAGTGTTAGGCCATTCCCCGTTAGGTACGGCTTATCGCCGATTAATTGGTCAATAAGTTTTAGGTTTTTCTTATAATTATTATGAGTCTCTTCGGGCACTTGGAGTCCATAAATGGATTTTGTTCTCTATTTTTAAAATTTTAAATTAAAAAATTATTATTTAATAATTTTTATGATAATCGCATAAATTAAGTAATAATTTTACCAAGAGACTATTGATACCAGTGTACAACATGTTATCAAAGTATAGCCACCGGTCTACGAGTGCCCGCGCCTTAGGTTCCGTGGGGTATAGGGCGCTGTCGGACGCGTACGCGTTGCACAGGTATTGCATGATTGCACGACTTTCGCATAAAGTGAATCCGTTGTCGATGATCACGGGTACCTCATGACCTGGGTTAATCTAAATGCAATAAAAATTAATACATTTATTATTTAATTATTGATCATTGATATTAATTAAATACTTTTAAAAATTCCGGTTTATTTTGCTCCCCTTCCGTTAGGTCTACGTGTTTGAGGTTTACATTGAGATTCAGTTGGCGGACAGTCATTAATATGGCCCGGGAGGGGCCACTAAAGCGAAAATAATACAGATCAATTGGCATTATATTATTTAATATGTCAACAGTTTGCACTTATTTTTTACTTATTGTGGGAAAAATACTTTGCTATATTACATGTATTAAAACTCAACAACTATTTATACATTTAAAAATATATATATATATATTTGATTCTGATAAATTAATATAAATTTGAATTTAGTGCAATTTAGAGCTAAACTGACGTGATAATATTTAAACAATACTTAATATTGTGAATGTACCAAAGCATACAGCTAAAGTAAATGTTTAAAGTAATATCAGAGAGGTTTATCAAACAACTATTTTATCCCGAGTTTATTAGATAATACCACAGGGTCATTTAACAAATACGTATACTTATGTACATCTTTTGGAAATATTATGCGAATATAATAAGTGGTATTATAGTTGGTGGATAATTAATTTTTAGCAAACTTTTAATTGTGTGCTTTTAATGGCAAAATTTTTATATAAGCATTAAATAGCATTTTTTACAATTTTAAAAATAATTTTATTAACATTATTATAAACTAAAATACAAAAATAATACTTTAATAGAATAAAATTATTAGAGCAGGCTAACTAAGTTTTTTATTTTAAGAAATACTGTATTATCTATAAAGATCACATTTGAGAGCCCTTGTACTGGCTCATTAACAATGATCAAGCAAATATTTCACGCATCAATGGATAGGGTAACAGTACTTTGCGATCCGTTTCCATCAATTCCAGCGATAATACGTGCAAATGATATAAACTATTTAAAAGTCTTATACACTTAACATGCGATTCCCTATTATCTCCATATTTTAAAATTAAATACCGTCGCAGTAAATAAACGTAAGTGTGTTGCTGTAACCTAATTATAGAAATTATAAGAAAATTAACAACCTTAATAAATGAACAAATTTATACATACTTGATGACATCCCTATTAATTAGGTTTAACCGATTTGGGTTAAATAATACGATTGCGGTTAACTGTAATTACAAAATACATTTTAAAATGCTTTTAGCATGAAAGCTTAATTAATAGTACCAAATCTAAAATAACAGGGTCATAATTCCAGTCCTTAGCAATTTTGTAAAGAAATAGCCTGTACATTGTGTATACATTTCGTGGCGTATATCGCATGGTCTCCAACATATATTTTGCTGAATATTTATTTTCCTAATTATTAAAAACAAATAAATATATAATTAATTATGCACATGTGATATAATAATAAAAATATTGCATTATTTGTAAAACAAGCAAATCAAAATTTAAATATTTTTAACATTAATAGTATGTTTATTTTTTTGATAAATACTTTGTTACATACCATAACTATGGTCCAATAAGTATCAGCAATATTATAGTAACTCAATGACCGCATGTGGTATATCTCAATGCAACCATGCTTAATTAAGTTGACCCTATCATTTTCGCACAAACTTTGAAAATGGGTTAACCCTTTGCACATCATGATCATATTTCTGACTTGACGTTCAAACCTGGGTGCAATTATCAACTCTCGATCATTAAACCCTAACTCATTATGAGTATGTCCTAGGCAAGTTTCGGTGAATACTGTCGTAGCCGTTAACAGTTCACTCAATCTATAGCCCTCTAATTCATTCAATTGATTTTTGTAGTCCATAAGCGGTCTGTGGACAGGTATGATAGAAAGTGCCCGTTCCCCTGATATAGTACTATCCATAAGTGCTATGTTAATCGTCTGGAAATTTTTCAAATCACTAGTAATTTCATTATTATAATTAATAATAGGTTTGATATCAGGTTTAGTATCATTGCTATCATTGTCAGCAATAGTGTCACTATTGGGGCTATTTGTTGAGAAAGTAGTGTTTGTGTCGTTAGTATCCCATGAATTGCTTTCAATGGTTAGGGTTGAAGGTGTGGTCGAGTCCGGGAGTTGAGTGTTATATTTGTTTTCATTTTGTTTGCCATTATTTTGTTGTTTTTTATTTCTTATCATTTTTAACATATGATTCTTTACGATCACATCCTAATGTGGGGGAGAGAGAGAGAGAGAGAGAGAGAGAGTAATTTTTAATATTTTAAAATTTAACATGTTTAAAAGTACATACAATTTTCATTCCCATAGCGAAACATTTGACCAGGCGACATTTTTTGCACAACTTTCTAGTACTTGAGTTAATATCGCAATTATTTTGGCGAAAACAAATTAATTCCTAGAAAAATGTTACAAGTTTAATATTTATAATATGTAATTATAAACATTTAAAATAGACCTTGTTTGCAGTGACCTGTCGCCGGAAAAATGATTTACACGAGTGACACGTGTAGGCGCCATAATTTTCACCTAGATTATTTATAAAAGTAATTTTAATTAAAACATTTATTAATACAATATTTTTATACATACCAATAGCTCTGTCCCCGCAAACCACACATTTTACCTCATAATCAGCTAGGTCACTCATATTTTATAACAAATATATTACAATAAATTTAATAGCTTATAACTCTCATTTAAGTTAGTTTACAATTAACAGGCAGACCTAACTAATTTACAAATTATATGAAATTATTTATATAAAATGATAATAATTTCAATTACGGTAGTAATAAAAATATGTTGTACAATAAATCACCATGGAAATAATCTGATTATATATGTGCACATGCACTAACAAATCTAAATTCACAGAAATATAATAACATAAGGTTAGTATGAGGTTTTAGCACATAATTTTATATAGGTGATTATTATTTATTACATAATCATGAACTTATAAGTGATAAACTGACCTAGCTTTATAAATAATTAAAATGAATATATTAACTTATATTTTTTATCTGATTTTACAATTAAAATGTATTGCTAGGTGTATGACAGTGAATTATTTAAAATTACACAATTTTTTAGCAACCTTTAGTAATATAATATTCTGAATATGAAATATTTTATTTGGAAATCTTGGAAATAAATTATAATACTATAATCAATAATAAGTTACAAATGGTTTATAAATATTCATATTATTGAATAGAAAAATTATTCATCTACTTGTGTTACATTTTATAATACAAAATTAATCAAATATAAACTGTTTGACAAAACTCTTTGCACTCGATGTCTTAATATTACTATATGTTACAGTTGAGCTAGATCAATATAAAATTTTTGAGAAATATGGTTTTATTGCACCAACATGTTGATATGCCCTAT